AGGGAAAGAACTTTAGTTTGGCTCCCAACTAAATGTTCTTGCAGATGCAAAATGAGATGATAACTGGTAGAATTTTTATCAGTTGTCTTTTTAACATCTGAGAGAATCTGTTGCATTGGTTTCCTGCTGAAGTTGCCCACTGTGATGCCTGAGGAAAGTTTTGTAAATTGGGTCTCTGTCACAGGCCCCTAGTTTTTCTTATAAAGGTTAGCTGTTCTTGATTGTTTAGTGCAGAGACTCATTCTCCACTGTGTAATTAAGATAGAATATTTTCAACCAGTAGATGTTATTCAAAGCCCCATAATGTTGGGAATCCTAAATGCTTGTATGTCAAAAGGTAGTTGAAAATAATGGCTGTTGCCCTCAGGAGCCTACTTGGGTTGGTATCGTGGCTTTTATACATTCTAGGTATGTGATCTTGGGCAGTTGGCATAACTTTGCTGCAGTGTCCTGACCAGTAAAATGGGGATAATGAAGACAGAACCTATTTCATAAGGTTGTTTTGAGGATTAGATCTGAGTACGTCAAGTACTCAGAAGAGTGCGTGGCACATGGTAAGCATTATGTTAACACCTGCTATTATTATTATCAATGACAGTATCTACATTAGACCTGGTAGCCTGGGGCTGCAAGTTCCAAGTGCCTTTATTCTCTAAGTTCACTATTATCCACTTTTATTGTCAAGTTTCTCCCCTTGATTTTATAGGCCTTATCAGTTCTTTTCTGTTCATATGGTTTCCATGTATGCTTATTTTATAATTGTAGTGTATGGGAGATACATGTTCCTAATGATTTTATTGTGCATTAGTCAGTACTGTGGGACTGTATCCAGTCAATATATTGAGTATGCTTTGTGAAATGATATGTGCATTTAAATATTCATATGCCACTTAACAAAGATTATAAGGATTTAAAAAAATTTTTTTTAATGTTTTTATTTATTTTTGAGACAGGGAGAGACAGAGCATGAGCAGGGGAGGGGCAGAGAGAGAGGGAGACACAGAATCCAAAGCAGGCTCCAGGCTCTGAGCTGTCAGCAAAGAGCCCGACGTGGAGCTCGAACTCACAGACCATGAGATCATGACCTGAGCGAAGTTGGACGCTTAACCGACTGAGCCACCCAGGCGCCCCAAGGGTTTTTTTCTTAAATCTTTATTTGGCAAATTTGTTTTTCTTTGAAAGTTATAGCCTAATATATATTATTCCTTATCTATTATTTCTTTAGTTTCTAGAGCATAATGGCTGGGATATGTTCTAACTCAAACAACTGAAACTTCTTTTCCCACCCTCTTTGCTTTCATGAAGAACAACTGGGGTATTAAAGAAACAGCTGACAGAATATTAGAAAAGCAGTGTCAAGTTCTAGTTCTATCACGAACCAGATGTAGATAGGGTCTTAGGTAATTCTAGTCCAAGGAACTATGATTGTCATTTTCCTGTGTGCTTAAAGAATCAATATATTTATGATAATTAATAACTTACAAGTCAAAAGATTCTTTTTAGTTGGCTTATAAATTGATCTCATTTCTTTATAGTACTTTATTCTGCAAACCAGATTTCTGAAATACATAGTTTATTTTCCTTAATTTGCATGGGTGTCAGAATGTTCTAGGTAAATAACTGGTTATGACAGTTCACTCTCTCTTCAGAGGTGTGGTCCCAGAAGGCCGTCCAGTTCTGACCCTGCTTGCCTCTCTGACCTCTCCTCCTGCCGTTCTCCCACTTAGTTCAGTCTAATCATGTGGACCTCCCTACTCCTCTGCGAAGATGCCTAGTCTGTTCCCACCTCAGGACTTTTGAATGCATTGTTTCATCTGCCTGGAATGTGCTTCTCCCCTGAGCTGTAACAGTTGGCTCCCTTGTATCAGTCAGGTCTCAGTTCAGATGTCACCACATGAGAGTATGTCCCTAACCCTCCTGTCTAAAACAGCCCCTCTGTCACTCTCAACCCTCTTACCCTGCTGTAGGTTTCCTCATAGAACTTACCTCTGACATAATATATATTTCGTTTTATTGTTTGCTTTCCCTACTAATATGTTAAGTTCCATATTCAGTACTGTTCAGTACTGTGTCCCTACGGCCTGATAGAGATTTATGATAGCGCATAGCAGGCACTCAAAAAGTTTTTTGAATTAAGCAAGTAACTTATTATGGTATTTCCAATTACTCAGTTACTTCATGTACTTCAAAGGTTGTAGAGATGATCTTTGGATGTATTTTGAAGGGGTGGGTCTGATGTATAGTCTGGTTGTATAAACCACCTATATGGAAAAAAATTGTTAATTATTACAAAGAATATGTCATGTTAGAATTGATCTGATCTAAGAATAAATACATCTTTCGGAGATAATGCTTACAGACCACCTAGCATATACTTCTTATTTGAAAGATTAGGAAACAACTCTGTTTATAATTGCAGACATGCCAGATGTTACACAAACTTCTTAGTGGCAGAACCCTAATTTTGTCTATGATATACTTCATTCTTATTGTTTTGTACAGCTTACATATATATATAATCTGTGTTTCATTTCCTAGTAAATTTATTTCTTCTTCGTTGTGTTTTTTCACCTACTACTTTATTATCTCTTCCACAAAGTATGTGTTGCAATAGTGTTTTCTCACATAGCTATTACATGCTGCTAGGGGAGTATGGGGGGTCTTTGGCATGCCTCTGCCTCCTTTGGAAATCTCCACTTGGATATCTCACAGTTAACAGAATCAGTATTTGCAAAAACAAATGCCTTATAGTTCCCCCTGAACCTAACACTTTTGCTGTATTACTTGAAATAATTCATCCTAGTTGCTTAGGATAGAAACCGTGGTTATGGAGAGGTAGTATTTTTACCTCTCCCTGTCACCTATCCCCTATATCCAAAAAGTTGCCAAACCCTGTAGAACTTCCTTCTTTCCTGGAGAACCTTGGTTAGCAGAGATGACCCTTTGCCACATGCTGGCCATTGCAGGTGTTAGGCAACTCTGTTGTCACATAAAGGAATCACCCTCTATGAGGCCAAATTCATCAGATGATATTGTTGTGCCTGACTAACGAATAGTTCATAACTTCATTTAAGATGAGCACTAAGGACATAGGGAAAGTGTCTGGATAGCATTGAATAGAGTGCTTTGGACTCTGGGTGTACTCAGTAAAATAAGTTACCCTTAGTCCTCATTTTGAGATTGTAGTTTTCTTCTTGTTACACTGTTATTTTCTTAACAATAAAAAAGGAACGTTTTCCTTTTAACTTTTAAATGAGCTGTTTTAAAAGTCATCTGTGTACAAATGGAGAAATTGAGTAAAGTAGCCGCCTTTCAAAGCTATGTAAGTGCTTTTGGCCCATTGGGTTACACTGAAGGAATGGAAAGAGTTGGTACAGCCTTAAAGATGCCTAATTTACAAGGAGGGAGTACCTGAGAGAATTTGACTAAGTTACATCAACCCCATTTCATCTCCCTCTATGAGGGTTCAAATAAGACAAACCCATGGTCTGTCATTGTTAAGTGAAAGTATTTGAATGCCTCCTAGTGGCATATTCTGTGCTCTAATTAGGGAATTTTTAAAAATAATAGGTATTGAAGGAATACTGTAGATAAAGTATTAAAACTTGTAGGTGCAAAGTACTAATACAATCCTTTAATGATAGCATAGTAAATAAAAATTAAAAAATTGTTTGCCATATAAAATTAATTAAAAATCTAACTGGAAAAATACATATGATGAAGAGGGATATATTTTAATCAAAATTTTTATGTTTTTGGTTCAGATTAGATTTCTTTAATTTTTTTTAAAGTGGGACAATTTTGCACTTAAATATAGACACATGTCTCTATTAAGATTGAATTGTTTTAATACATTTATCCTTCTAAATTAATTTGATTACTGCGTATAAATTTTAATTTATTTGTATAATAAAACAGGAATAATGGTTAGAGAAAGTCTTTGGTTCATTTTCAGACAGTAGTATTTTTAAATTCCGATTTTCAAGTTGAACCAAATGATTTAATTAGTAAGCTTGAAATGCTGACTTGAGCAAAACTTTAAAATGAAGAATGCTGACTTAATTATTGCTTTAAACATTAAAAAAGGATCAGCACTTACAGAAATGTAATTTAAAATGGAAAACAAAAAGTCCCATGGAAAGAATTCTGATGAGGGTCAGTAGGAGGGAGGGAAGATAAAGTGATATCCTTTTGTTAGGCATTTAAAAATATTTAATTAACTGCTTGCCCAAACAAAACAATTAGAATGGCAATTACCTTTAAAATAGCATCGATGTATTTGCAGCTGTTGTGATATAAGGCTAGGAAACAAAATGTTAATCTGAAATGAACAGTTTAAATATGGAATTATGATATACTTGGCTTCCTGTAGCACAGCTGTCAAGCTCGGGCAGCTCGCTGGTCAATAGTGACATTCTGTGTGTCAGTGAACAGCGTCTCTTGATACCATAACCCACAGTTCACACATTACTGAAGCTCCAACTGTCGAGCATTCAGGTCCCCTGGTATTAGCGCAGCTTCCAGACTCTCCTGACTGGCTCATGTTTCATTCTTTGGCAATTTGCCCTAATGATATCCCTCAGGAGCTTTCAGCCTCCCTTCCTTTCCATATTTAATCGTGGTATATTAATCCGAGCGAGGCGCGAAGAGTGCTGCACACGTTGTAATTTCCTACAATTTCTCCTAAGCTGCTCACCCAGTTTTTCAGTCTTACTTTTATTTATGTTCTAAGCTTTGACCCCAAATGCTGTCTTTTCAGGTAGTTATCACTGTCTCCGTAAGATGCCCAGGAAGCTGCTTTTGCTGAAAGTATTCTTCAGAGGGGCTTTGGCAACATCAGATCGGTTTTTGTTCTGGCAGATTTGGTACAGACAATGCGATTTAGGTCACTAAATAAATTGTTTTATGTTTGTCATTCATCTTGGATGACTTGAGCATGTCTTTTTGTTTGGAGGATCGGCATCTACTTACCGTTGTTATTATCCTTTTGCAAATTTTAGTTAACTGCCTGTCTCCATGGATCAGTTGCCCTGCTATACCCAATGTACTGGCAGCACATATACATCCCAGTGCTTCCGCCGCACCTGCTGGACTACTGCTGGTAAGATGACTTTTGCCAGACTCCTTTAAATCCAGGCTGTATGATTAGAAAAAAATACGTTTATTTGTAGATTAGCGAAGGTTGGTGTATGTATAGACCAACGAAATCCCTGAAACTTGGCCTCGAGATTAGTAACCAATATTAAAAGCTGCTTTTATGAGGGCAGAGTAGTTCTGTTCAAAGCTGGCCAAAAAAAAAAAAAAAATGTGTGTTTGGCAAACATAAAGTTCTTTAGATTTTGTGAGTTACTTCTGCAGTCGTGTAGATAATTGCATAAAAAGAAGCGAATACAGCCTTAGTTGTGGTTAAGAAAACCGTACAGAAGTTATAGTATCAGTCCAAGAACTCCATATCCCAGGTGTCAGAATTTGTCTGCAGAGCCTGTCAGAAACCACATTGCCTCTGTCGGGGCACACTTTCATTACCTTTACCTCAGGACACACTTTGCTTCACCCCTCTTCCCTCAGTAGCACACTGAATACCAAATACCAGCAAAGGGGTTGCCTCTAATTCAGGGATTCCCTGAGTTTCTGGTTTAAATCAAAGTCTCGGCCCTAAGCCACCATGGAAAAAAGCGATGTTGAAAAGTGGTGGGACTAATTTTGAAATGCTTCCTGGCATTAGAAATAACTCCCGATGATCTCACCCAATGTGAATTCAACAACACCCCTGGAACTCTTCTGTTCTCTTCCTCTGGAAGAGTGTGTATATTCTCAGGCTGGACAAGGGTTAGACTCTGAAACAGCAGCCTTGGGATCTTCTTCTGGACTGTAAGATAAAATGTTCTCTTCGTGCATAATCATCTTCTGCAGGCATAGCTTACTTCTAAAGAATTCAGTTTTGTTTCCTCTAAACCATGCATGTGCACATACACACGTAGAAGGAAATAATTTTGACTATAATAAATTTGTTTATATTATTAAAAACAAAGCTCTTTCAGAAGCAAAGTATTTAACTTTTTTGTTTCATGGAAAGCAGTTCACCTAAAGTATTTAAGGATTAGAGAAAGCCATTTAAATTCATACCTAGAGGTTTTCTGTTCAATTTTTATGACTAGCTCTCTTCAGATCAGGTGATTGTAATGATACCACATATATTTGGCCCCATATTGATGATACTAACATATTGTGTGTTTCCACAGCATGGTAATAGTATTGATAATGCTTTGAAGTAAGTTCCCAATGATCTACCGCTGCCATTCAGTCCTTTGAGTACTGGAAAGGAGAAAGTTTGGCGGGAGATTGTAGCTTAATTAAATTGTGGAGTGTCACACACACAAGTCTGAGAGTTAAGCTAGATCTGTAAATAGGTTTTTAGGTATTCATTTTAGAGTGTTTTTCTGTGATCAACATAACTAGTATATATTAGCAGCCTTGAAGGCAGAAATGGCACTTGATTCACATTGACAATGCCATAGGTCTTGGCACATGGTGTTCAGTAATTGAAATTTATTCATTTCATATAATTTTTACAAAAGTATTGGAAAACATATTGATTTTTATTTATTATTATTATTGTTATTGTTATTATTATTTTAAAGTTTATTTATCTTGAGGGAAAGTGAGAGAACACGCGTGTGTACCTGTGAGCAGGGGGAAGGGCAGAGAGAGAGAGGGAGGCAGTGAATCCCAAGCAGACTCAGTGCTGTCAGCACACAGCCCACGTGGGGCTCTATCTCATGAACTGTGAGATCGTGACCTGAGCCAAAACCAAGAGTTGGACACTTAGCCAACTGAGCCGCCCAAATGCCCCAATACATGATTTTTAAAAATACATGTCAAGTTAGTGGTTCAAGAACTAGCATTTCTAACGATGAAGCTTAGAATTATATTTTATCATATATAATGTTAAGCTATTTGCATTTTTCTATTAAAGTGTTCTGACCTCTGGGGTGCCTGATGGCTCAGTTGGTTGAGTGTCTGACTTTGGCTCAAGTCATGATCTCATGGTTTCTGTGTTTGTGCCCCATGTTGGGCTGTGTGCTGACAGCTTAGAGCCTGGAGCCTGCTTTGGATTCTGTGTTTCCCTCTTTCTCTGCCCCTTCCCTGCTCGCACTCTGTCTCTCTCTCTCTCTCTCTCAAAAACAAAAATTTTTTTAAAATTTAAAAAAATGTTCTGACCTCTTAGGAGGTAACTTCCCTTTAAGTTCAGTTGTCTGTAATGACTATACATTTAAGACTTTCTAAAATACTGCTATTTAGAAGCTATTCTGTGGTGTAGTTAGTTCGGTGCTATTCTTCCCAGAGATGTCTTCCCGATACTTTCTAACCCTGCATGAAGGTCTTCTGCTGCTTCCATTATGATGAAGGAAGCTTGGTCCCTGGAATTTTCTTACTAGTTTCTAACCTTGAAGTAGCCTTTAGGATAAGTTCTAACAGCCTCCATGCCAGACAGTTCCCTGTTCCAGAGAGTACAATAGTGATTGATAATCAAGGAGTTATCTGAAACTTCCTAAGCGTTAAGGTCACAATGATAGGCTCAGCTTCTATCATAGAAACTGAGTGTTGTGATTTCTTTCTTCTCTTTTCTTTTGTCTTTTCTTTTCTTTTCTTTCTTTCTTTCTTTCTTTCTTTCTTTCTTTCTTTC